TATAAAAATAAAAAACAAAACCACGTTTTTCGTGATTATTTCAGAAACTGTAAGAGATGGATATAGGACATGTTGATAAAAGTCCTTCTACAAATCGATGTACTTTCGATTGCCGTTGAGAAAATGGGGTCATTTTATTTGAAAAAACTGAGTTATAGCTGTTTGTTACATATCATTTTCAAAAAATCATATAAGCTTTGCAATTTAACAGTTGACAATTTTGAAAATTTTAGGAAACTCTTCGAACCTTTGGTTATCAAATGCAAGAAAAATTATTTACTTATTGCAAACGGTTCAAAAGCTGTGATGTTTTTAATAAACCTCTGCAAATGAAAATTTTGAGCAAAAAATTGACATATGTCAAAAACTATTATAGATAAGTACTAACAACTAGGTACATTTTACTCAGTTTGGAGAGGAGAATTCAAAAATGCAATAAAAATAATTGGTTACCATTTAAAATTTCAAAGTTGGCGCCAATTTCTCGTAGTTCTGGAAGTTCAGCCATTTTGAAAATAATTTAGTTGAACTCAGACTGGTTGATTTGGGTTGTGTACAAAATTTCAAATTTCTATCTGCATTAGAAGTTAAAAAGTTTCTAATATAGGCCCTAAAAGAATCACCTTGTATATCCAGGGTCACTAAAAAGTATAGATACAGTTAAATAATATAGAAACTATCAAAACTTATTGAAATTTGGTATATGCTTATAAGTATTTAAATTCCCTCGCCTCAGATGTTTAGCAAACTTTTATCTCCATTTCTTCTGGAGATACAAGACTAATTTGATTTTTTTTTATGGCAAAAAGGGTCAAATTAAATATTTTTAAGAAGAGCATTTTTTCTTAGTTATGTTATGTAACACATGCATACCTTATTTTAATCAAATATTATTAAACTAATTAAATTTTGAAAAATGTAATTTTTTCCTTGGAAATGTTGCTTTATCTATCGTTAACTCTTTACCGCCTGAACTTTGACCAAAAAACAAGTAAACTGTTTCCCAAATTTCAACGTGCTTTGCTAAACCGTTTTGAAAATATTTAGCTGTATCCAAACTTTTTAGCGACCCTGCATAAGTTAAACACAAGCAAAATGATTACGGAGAATTTCATTTCAATCGGTGATTGATAGCACTTTGAAATAAATTTCCTATACATATGGAATAGATTTTTATTTCTTGTGAAGAGTGTTTAGAACTCACGAGTTAGGATTTACGATATTACAAGCGGATAAAATAAAAATAACATGTACTCTTAATTAACAACATATTGTACGTATTTGTACTTTGTAATTACCATAAAAAAAAAACACAATAATTAATCAATTTCACTTTCTTCCGTAAGAAACAAAATAAATTACGCAAGTCCTCACTCACACATAATTTAACGGATGCTTGAAATGTTATACAAGTACAGATAATTCTGTTTTCCTAAAACCGAAAGCAGGTCTCACGTTAAGGAAGTATTAAAATCGCTATAGGAACATATTCAAGTGTAATTTATACCAAAATATAGTCTGAATGTGTAACAGTTGATAACTAATCCGATATAAATAATCGTGTGTATTAAGGTCATTACGAATTAACAAAAGGCTTCCCAGCACGCTTTTTAATAAAATTATAGATACATCATATTTTAATTTACAATCATTTCTTATAACAACAATAATTATTATCAACCTTGACTACCAATAGCTGCCAGACCTTGACAGTGTTAAACAATTCTCATAAGGCAAATGCTTACTGTAGACTCCTACCAAAAACAGAAGGTTTGTCACATCGAATTTGCAGTAATCATTGTTTGTGAAATTTGCATACAATACCATTTTCGTAGTTCGCGATTATGGACATAAAAAATTTAAATAACAAAAGTAAATTTAATTGGCACATAACAACAATTTTAGTCAAAACTACTACTGAAGTGTAAAAAAACAACTAAAATCATAATTTTGCGTTATGTAAGTGTGATGTTATGTCCGAAAATTGCTCTGTCGAAACACTTATTAGAAAAGCAAGGCACGTTACATGAGCCATTTACATAATTTAAATCACCTTGAATTTCTTGATCTACCCAAATATGTACCCTAAGTAGCCAACTAACCTAAATCGTATTCAAATTAATTTTTTTACTTTGTCTCTTCCTCAGCCCAGTTTCTTTCAATTTGCTCAGTGTTGAGTACGTACAGACTGCTTTTTTCATTGAGCACATTTAATTTTAATTCAAATCAAAGTTTATACCGAATACCGGTTAACTTCAAGGCTACTAATTTAATCCAAATTAGACCATTATTTGTAAAAATGATAACCAATTAGAATATTAACTTTCAAGTACAAGTACAAAGTACATAACTACATAATACGAGTATCATCCCCTAAATGACTCTTAAGTAGAATAAATCCAACGATGATTAACTGTGGAACGAACACTGTATACCTAATTACATGAAATTCAAACGGTTTACAAAATCCAAATACTTTCACTACAAAAACAACAATGCTTCAGAATGAAAATGATCATTTTTTCATCTGATATTTCAGAAAACAATTATTATGTCGTTGTAACGTGCAAACAATGACATTCCGTTCATGTAATTACAATTACATAAAGATTTGTTATGGAAAGAATGTTGTTAGACTCAACACTACGAGATCTCGGTCAACTTACTAGACTTTCCAAACAACTTATTCCACATTTATAACCGATTAAAATCAATTGAGAATGCTGACAACAGACCTATTTTATTTTTAATAAAATTAATATTTTCAATTTGTTGTCTGATAATGATCTCTTCTGTTAGTACTTATGAAAGGTTACATATACACAATTGATGATCAATGACACAAATTACTATTATTATTAATACATATTTAGGTCGTTTATGCACACCGTAAAAATTTCAGGATAAAATACGGCACTACTATAATTCGAATACCTACATGTTTTCAGTAATAAATTTTTGAATTTTTAAAAGTCATAAATCTTTTATGTATTTTTACAAAATCTATACAAATACATTTTTGTGATCAACGCACATGCCGCAATTTTTCGCTCCAACAACTTCCGGGCCTGTCCTATCTACAGATCACTCAATTATTTTTAGAATTCCTATATTTATCTTCAAAAGCTTTATAACCCATCGTAGATTTTTCCCCAACTTTTCATTGTTAGGATTTGCATATTTGTTCGGAATAATAATAATTATGTATGATAACGCAAACAACAGTTTTCTATTTAATAGTTTTCTGATGAGTTAAGAATGGAACTAGTGTACTTAAGAGCAAAAAAATATCACAGATTTTCTCACTATTTTAAAAAGTACAAAGAACAAACTATTAAATCGAACTTATCGTTTATCTTTCGACAAATCCTTACTAAAAATCCGCTATACTAAATGGTTCAGGAGCGGATATTGCAAATAAAACTGTTATTTAAAGATATTAATGAAAACAGTCTATAAGATCAGCAGACGCTAAAGTAAAAATAGTCATGTTAAATATACACCATGATCAAATATGTTACAAAATGTGTCCATTCAATGCGAAAAACGCACAGATTTTAAAAATCAAACGTGTTCCTTTTTAAATCATCAATGAAAACATGTAAACCACTCATATTCTTTTGACAAATTTTACACTGGAAATTTGTGACCTTGATAATCACTATTTTTTCAGTAATAAAAAACCAAACAGACATTGCGTGGATATTACTCAACACGAGACCAATGTACCCAGTTCCTATTGTTACCAAACTGTGAGAATGTCTTATTTGGGTTTGATGATTTCATATGATGACGCTGAAAAAAGCGTCGAACAACAAAACTTAAATTTGAAAACTCAATGACCAGCCAGCCTTCTGAATTACCAAGGTTTACTACAGAGAACGCTACTAATAATAAACATTAATTTATTATTTCGAAAGTGACATTGGAGATGATAGAACGAGACACTTTAAAAATAAAATAACAGACCATTACATGCAACTTCCACATTTAATTTTACCAATTTCTGTAAAGTTACTTTTATTATTACGTTGTATTTATGTAAGCTTTGATGGTTTTGACCCAATAACAACAAAATTGTAATGTATTTTTAAAATTATCCAAAAAGTCTTTTTAATTTTATGTTAACGGTAGTATTCAAACTTTTAACTGAAAAAAAGTAAATTTATGGTAAAATACATTAATCATTTTGTTGAACATAAAATTGTTTAACATACAAATGGGTGTGTAATGTCAATACAATAAATTTTACGAGCTCATTTCCATCAGACTTCAAAGATAAAAAAAATTAAGCAATTTTTCACTTGTTCTAGTTACCACTAGGCCAAGACTTTATATAAATACAATGTAAAGTCCAGTCAACTAAATAACCATACAAAGAAACCTTACAATGTCAGAATGTTTAATATTCGAAATGCATTTCTCGTTAACAATTCCTTACAAGTAGCATTGTTTATAATGAAATTAACCGTTGAATATCTCGCCCATCTTTTGAAAATCGACGTGTAAGGAATTATTTAATTGAATCTCCTGGTTACGATGGAATGGCAACGTTAGTTACATCGTTGCATCCTACAAAACTATATGTATCGAAAGTGGGGTTTTTTAATTTCGTATGGAAAATATGAATAAACTTACAGCATTAACATATTTTAATTGTACAAAGTTAACACAAAAATAAAACCTTTAATTAAAATATTTATTATTATAAAGTGCAGAAACATTGACACACTTAACTACTCATTCCAGACAGCACGTTTTCCAATCTAAAATTGCGACAAAAAAAGCTGTTAAATTAAACCAGGCAAAAGGTTTATATTTAATGAACACCTTTAGAATTAATGTATTTCAAACTAATAACATAATTGCAGAAAGTCATCCAATTATTTTTCACTGCAATCCCAAATTCAAATAGTTCGATAACCGTATCGTGTAAATTAAGCTTCTCACGAATAATTTCATTCACAATAACATCCTGTAAAGTTGAATGTATCACAAAATTTCTTCTTTCAATTGAACTGTAAATAATCTTGGGAAGATGTTGCGCATAATTCGTCGACAATACATTTTTAAATGTTGTTGACTTTCTTTTTCTATTGTAACACAATTTTAAAATTAATATCTCTCATGTGGGACGATTTTGTACACGAAACACGGTTGTGTGATGTGGGGAGTATATTTTATCTTAATTTCACCGCCACAGGGAATTTCTTACGAAATTTTTATTTACCGGTGTAAACGATGTCTACGAACTAATTACGACGAATTAGTTCTCGTCTGTTTAGGGTTAGAATCGTTTTGAGGGCGTAGAATACACGCACTTTGCTAATTAATAAAAGGTGAGGTTCGTTAGAATTCCGTATAATACTTGTGCGACCTATATCAGTGCTTAATGCTTATAACTATTTTAATTTGTAACCAAACGTTTTCTTTTAATAATTTTATAAATTAAATAGTTATTACTCGTATATTTTCTTCATCCGCTTTTTTCCGGTAATACAATATCACGGCAATTATTGAAGCCTTTTCGGCGATTTTCATATTGCAAACTACTATATTAACACAATAAATTTTTTGTTCTAAAACTCCGAAGTGGTTATCAAACCCGTGTGCGCCTAGCCTAACTTATTGTTATCTTTGTAGACTGTTTAAAACAAATGTGAAATTCCTCAGAAAGGAAGACTTCTTTCTGAATAATGCTGAACGGGTTTTTTAAACCAAAGAGGGCGTTCTAAATACCAGAACAGCTCATGAAATTAATTTAAAAACTAAACCTTCAGTTGTATTTGTTTATAACACAACAAACCTATTTACTTAATTAAAAGTAATAATATATCTTTTAAATTTGTACAAAGTGTATTCCCTTTAAAAATTTATTGACAGCATTAGATGAAAAAAATAATAGATAGATACTTGTTTTAAAAATATGTATTTAATACGTTTCACTTATCTGTGGAATTCGTTCATATAAGTGTTAATGCGTGATTCACGAAAAAATACAATAGTGTGATAATTTGTATAAATACTTCAATAATTCATCTTGACAAAAATCCTTTGTTAAAATAAAATTTCCTTTAACCAAAAAAAAAAAGAGAAATCACTGAATATACCTAAAACTTTATCAATAAATCAGAAGATAATAATGTTGTTTATAATCAGATCAACCAAATCATACAGATTTAATAAATAAAAATATATGTATATGAACAAGAATTAAAAACTTACACTAACACAAACTGCACTCAGCGGCATTCTCCTCAATTAACCTCTAACCCTAATTTGTTAATATTGATTTTGGAAGCACAATAACTTTTTTAAAACGCACTCATAATGTCTAGCAAAAATGTGAATACTGCCCTCCTTAAAAATATTTATATTTCGACAGGTCACATATTGTTTTTAATTTTTTACACACAATGAATTTGTATACACACACACACTCAATACACCTGTTGCAACTGAAGCAAAAGCTGTTTCTAACTTGGGCAAAGAAATGATCGTGACTGCGTGTCTCGTACTCCCGCACCTCTATCTCGGCAAATAGCGAGACGATCAACTTTCTATAGCCCCACTCCATAAATTCCGTTGAATCATTTTAAGGGTTGCTACACGATTCTACACCTGATATAATTGGAAGCTTTCGGCTGTTCGGCCCTACGTCCTAATGTATAGTATTTTTCAACTGAAATTTGCGGTTTAAACTAGGCATCTACAAATGTGTTCCACATTTCATTGAAACTTTAGCTCGAAGAAAAAAAGTCTCAAACCGGAACTACAATATTCACCCCAAGCATTCAAACGAAACGTCGAATTACATTGTTACATTAACAGGTGTATTTTCCGCCTTATAACATATTAAAACACTTTACGATAAAACTCTTTTAATAGCTTCGCCGCGCCGTAACCGCGTTTAAAAACTGAAAATTTTGAAAATTCGTTTTCCAAAACTTTAAACAAAGTTTCCTCAAAAACTATGTACCCCACAACAACAAAAAAATATCATCGAAATCCTTCAACTTCAACTCCACAAAGAAAACGCAAAAATCCAAGAATTAAACATTTTTTTAAGAATCTTTCGAAAACTTTCGACTCTAAACAAAAACCGATTCAAATTCCCCGGACGGTTTTACGTCTAGTAAATACGAAGTGATCCAGAAAGACTGAGTTTGTTGGTACCAGATTTGAAAGTACTTTTGTTAATAATTCGAAACACTGGAACCGGATACGGTTTTGCTTGACAAATACTTGACGTACAACCCTACAAGATTGTTGAATTGATGGTAATCAAAAGCGCACTCCAATGGTAAGCTTTAAAAATTAGAGTCAGGAGTGCCAACAGATTCATTCATTGTGGATCAGTTTGTATAATACATACAGGTGTCCGCAAAGTCGCACACCTCCGTGGCACTGTATCATCAGACAATGCCCTAGACAACAAGAAAAATGTTAAAAAAATATATCTATAAAAATTTCGAAGTTATAAGAGTTTAAATTTTGCACTTTGACTCTATTTATTTCTGTTAGAAAAATAATTTTTCAAGTTGTTTTGCTACAGGCTACAGACTACTACAGAAGAGGAAACAAGGAAGCTGTCTCCTAAATTGTAACTTTGTTTGGTGTTATTTTATTGGCATTTTTTTACATTTATTTACTAAATAATTAAAAAAAAACGTATACAAGATCATCAGTCTCATTAAATAGTCATAAAAATATGTCAAAGGTCAAAAAATAATTGTCAAAATTTTTTGACAGAAAGGAATTTTTAAACATTTTTTCAGTACTCTGAGGGACTACCCAATTACTTCTTTTCAAAGAGGTGCAAGACTTTCCGGACAACTTGTATTTCGGATTTGTCAGTCTCAAAAAACTGATCTTTCTTAAATTCGACAAATGTACGTTTAAAGTATTATTCTGGTCCCAAAGACCCTCAGAAATGCGAAAAGCATTATTTATTTGATTCAATTATGAAATTTACAACTTTGTCGATTTGAACCTCGAGTCACTCTTATCTAGAATATTTCAGCTTTCTTCTGCAATGTTGTGGAATTTCCTTACAAAGAGCAACCATTCCGTTTATCTCAAAACCCAGACATTTATTTGCTTCACAATTGAAACATTTTTAGTCGTTTTGACATGCCTTACATCCGGTTGTATATTCTTATCTTCAACATGACAAGCATAAGATAGTTTGAGTGAACTTAAAAATCCTAACAAGTATTGAAAATGTGCTTTTATGCATAAATGTAATATGCCGATCGTTCCTAACTCATCAGTCATCAAGAACAACTGTTTGTAGGTAAAGTTGGCCCAAAGATTTTTACGACTTACTTATTAATCCGATAATTTATATTTTAATTTTTTTTTATTTTTAAATTTTAAATAAGACACATTTCTTAGTACAATTAAAAATATAAACAGCACAATAGACGATTGTTTTTAACTTTATTTTTAAATCCAAGTTTTAATTAAATTAGCCTAATTGGCTGATTTTTATACAAAACCCTTTTGAAATATACAAAAAAATACATCTAGACGCTCTAAAGAAGTTCAACATTCTAAAACAATGAGTATAAGTTAATCATATCCTCACATAACCCACACAAATGACTTTTTTTATACGCTGAATCTTAACAAGCTAAATAAGTGACACCCAACGATGAGTTATTGCTAAATAAACCAAGAATGCATTAGGACAATAATAATTTTTAACTAAAACATTAAAAGGTGTTGGAAAAAACAAAACATCATTGCCAGTAGTTTTTTGTACACACACTATTTTAATAATTTTTTAGATTATTTCTAAAAATTATTTTGCAAAATACTGTTTAAAATTAAAACCGCCTCTTTTAACCCGTTATTAGACTAAACAACTCAACAATGTATCAGCTACTATTTACTTGATAGTTTTATTTACTCCCCTTACACATTCGCGGCATTATAATACAACGTATAAAAGTGATGTTTGAAACATTGACTAGAAGTATATATTAACAGTTTATTTTAACTAGCTAAAAGCATACAAACATCCTTTTTTGGTGTACATTAAGTGCGTCTTACGTAAAATAAATTTCGGAATCACATCACTAAGATTAAGATTGTGTAAATGATTTATTTTTTTTAATCAACACTCGTACCATAACATGATTTAAATGAGTAAAATGACCACAAATGTTTACTTTCAAAGTTACTTTAGTAAAATTCCTACTAGCAATTCCCTTATAATCACCTTCATGTATACAAACAAGATAGTGATTTATAGTCAGGAAACTAAGCCATATGTATGCAGAAAATGCACTTCCATAGTACATACATCCTTATAGTGTGTTACCAGATATCACAACATTTTTAGATAAAATGTCAAACAAAACGATACTATGAATACCTACTATAAACAAATCTCAGCCATTTCTGGGACAATTTTTACTAAAATAATCCTATACTCGTTTTCATATTAATGTGCATCAAAGTAGTCGTTGAAAGGGATCATTTTAAAGCGGCAACTATGCGAAAATGCAAACAATCCTAAACTCAATCTTCCCTAAAAATTATTTTTTCAAATAAATGTGTATCTCATGTAGCAAAAAATTGTTAAAATTAACAACGTTTTCAACCTAGGATAGCAAACATAAAGATTTGTGTCATTATTGATGTGATTAAATTTGTTTTGAATGACATTAATGACACTTTTTGTGTAAATCGGACTTTAAATTAAAGATTCATTTAGACTTCTACAACCTACTTGATGCACATTAATATGAAAAAGACTATAGAACATCGTTTTCACATTTGAACAATGAATTAAATTTTCGTAAAACTTTTTTAATACAGGTATCTTCGAACTAGGAACAAAAACCAATCAATTTACAATTAAAAGTGTTACTCCTACTTAAAAAAAATCATAATTTATAATAAATTACGTAACTAAAAAATCTTTGTTTTGTGAGCCTCCAAAAACAATGACTCAAATAACCAAATTCACAGCACTTTAATACTTTCAATGAGAGTTCAATACAGTGCGCCTACAAATCACCAAACAAAACGGCAGGCAAATCCAGTGATTTCAGTACTACTAGAAATAGAAGACATTGAAAATCTCGTGGGTGTTTGTTCCAAGCCAAAAAGCACCTGAATGTATTTTTGGATGTATGTATGTTACTAACATAATGCACGAATATTACCCACGTTTGTTTCCAAAAAACATGGTTTCATCACTTTGAACTTGCATTAGACGAACATGTGGAATAGAAGGCAAGGCATTTATGGCCTTCCACTTTTAGAAACAACCAGATACATTAAATTGCCGAATACCAACGACGGCTGGACGCTATAAATACAAAAGAATGAGCATTTCAATCACGGCGAAGCCTCTTGCTTCCGAAATGTGAAAGCTTTTAGATTTTAAGTGAATTTACTTATATTTTTGTTCAGTGAGGGTGTTCTCTTAATTTATATGTATGTTTGTTTTCATTTCGTTCAAGTAAAAATATTATAGTCCTCTATAAAACATTTACTATTAAAAAAAATATTCTTGATGTAAACCAAACACAAGTATTGCTCCGAAATTTCAATGACATGCAAAACATAAATTAAAGTGATTAAAACATATTATCAAGCATGACGTTATCTCTTACAGTCGGTAATAAATTACAAGTGAACTAGTAAAATACCAAATAAAAATTAAAACAACAATTATATTAACGAAGTTAACTCAGACCAAATTAGGTCTTGGAACTTTACTTAATTGAGTACTTTCCTGACTAGTCTGAACACACGCCAAACTAAATATGTCCAACAACAATAAAGACAAACGTAAACAAAATATTTAACTTACATGATATTAAAAGCAGTTTTAATCCGTAATGTTACAGGTCGCAACCGAAACTCACTTATTAGTCTGATAAGAGAAGAACGGAAAATTTAAAAACAATAAAACACCAAAAAATTACGAAATATTACAACATTTAAGTCCAAAAATCATTACGTTTTAACAGTTTTAGACGATAAAAAAATTTAGACTAAACTGGAAGTTAAATGCACTTTAAAACATTTTGAGACTACTGACAGGGAATTACTGTGCGCAGTTGGTGTGGAACAGGAACATCGACAGCGACGCGCATATGTCAGGATATTTCAGCGAGGGAGGTGGAGTGTTCGACTTCCACGAAGGGAATCCTGGACTCCGATTACCACAACCTATTTCATGTGGCTTAATATTTATCGGCACATTACACGCAATAGGCCGCCCTGAATACCAAACGTTCTATCATCCGGAAAAAACTAATCTCACAATCTTAGGACTGTTGAAAGTCTTCAATTAGTTACAATAATAAAGTACAACTAAAAACAATTATCTAAATAGAGAAAATTCCCTTCCACTGTGAACACGAAGGTTTTATAGACAGTGTATTGTTGGTTGCATAATCTGAACGACTCTACAATACATAATTTATATAAATAACCATTTTTGGTAAAACCAAACGAACAAAACCTTGACCACAAATGAAGACAAGACGATTACCCTTGTGCATAATCCTATTTATCCTTAATTTAATTTATACAGGGTTATTCACGAGAGGGTTATTTCTGAATTTTTTTTTCTGCAACCAACAATACCAATATCACCACTGCTAAATAAAATGTTAATTCTTTTAAATTAGAAATCAAAGTAAGTTGGACAGATTGGCCAGAAATGTCAGATTGACAGCTAACCTACATTTACTCAAAATTCAACAAATAAACTAAGAAGTTAAATTAACGTAAAAGGTGTTTGAAATGTCTACCATCGGCTTTTAAACATGCGCCTAGTCGGTTGGTAAACCGTCGCATTGTTTGAGACATGATTTTGTTGCATTAATGCCAAAGAGATAAGACTAATAACAGCTATCGTGAATTCAGTTATAATTATTTTCAAAATTTGAAATCAAGAAATTGTTGCAATATGTATAATGGGTTGCACAAAAAAAAACAGGAATAACCCTCTCTTGAATAACCCTGTATAACTCATAGTTAGACCCCTCATTCTAGAAAAGTAAATTAGTAACTTTTTCAAATTATGTGGATAAAGTGTGTTTCAATTTGTATTGTCTAAACTAAGTGGCCAAAATTATAAAATTAAATACCTAAGTAAGACATGTCTTCTTAAGTTAAAAACATTAAGAAACTTAATTTTTATTAATCCTAAAAATCCTTATTTATTCTCATTTTTATTTTATGTTTAAATAAACTTTGTTACCATTTCACAACCGAATAACACGAATAAAAGATAACAAGTCCCACAACTGTGCCTAAACGTTTGATGTTATGCTGAAGTGCACATTAGACTGCTGTCGCTAGGCAGCAACGATGCTGAAAAAAAAGGTAAAGGACTGATTAGCAGCATAAAACTATAGTCCATAAAGTGTAAGAAGATGAATGCTTCGCCCATTTTAAATTGTTAGCAACTAGCAAACCAATCGCATCAGAGCAAAAATTATCTTGAACATTTTTTTCCGTAACTGCATGTAACAAATTCAGTTTCTATATGTCATGACTTATGATGCATGTTTCACATTTAATTCTGTTACAAAGTACTTACTTTAAATCGAACAAAAAGCGCAGAATTTAGATTTAAACTTTAATTTCAACAAGCAATTAAATTTCAACGTAACATTTCAAAGTTGTAGCAGTGTGACTTACGCTCCCTTTGATTACAGCCTTTCATTGTTAACCACGTTAAGAGTGAAGCATGGATCAAGTTATATTTTAAGAACTATCGAATTAGAAATTACTTATTCTGAAAAAATAATTTTACATGTTTTTTTTTTGCTGCAGGCTATTAGAATTGAAACAAAGAAGCTGTATGCTGTAACTATGTTTAACGTTACTTGTGGCTTTTATTGACAAAGTTTTACCATTACCATGTGTAAATCCGACTTTAAACATCCAATTGTTTTTTAGGGACATATGGCCACTATGAATTCATCGCCACTTTACATCCCTACACATTTCGTAAAAAATGCATTGAAGCAGTAATTCTGAGTTTTTCCTTAGTAGCGATGGTTGCTAAGAAAAAACTGAACTATTATTAATTATTAATGAACTACTAATAAAACTAATTAAAGCTTTGAAGAAACTCAAAAACTGAATGTTTAAAAAAAATCCGGATTAAAGCGCCAACGGGAATCAGTTGAACCCAAAAAATGTCCAGGGGAGAAAATAATTATTCTATCAAAACGGGGATGATGGAAAACATTAAATAGACATACAGATTTGTCAAGAAGAAATAACCACCTAGGATTTGAACTTTTAGGAAAATTACGTTTTTCATGTTGTTTGTAACTAGAATTTTCAGAAGTAATTTTGAATGCTTATGGTTGGTTACCCCTTGTAGTTGATGGTTGACGTTTTCTGTCGACCTGCTGTCAGCTATCAATTGAAATCTCCATACAAGCTGACAGGTGACTTAACCTAAATTTTGACACTGGTTATTATATCTTTTGTTTGTCACCAAAAAACCAACCTAATCAAATTTATGGCAACCTATTCACGAATATCTCTAGAGAGTAATTTCTTGTTGATACGACAATATAAAGATCAAACGCGTATTGAAGTGATTGATTCTCCCAATAAATGTTGCCAATTATAAGTTACAATTTGTATAGTATAGTCGTATTTAACGCAAAATACGTGTTAAAAATTGATAAATTTCACACACAAATGATAGCGATTAAAATTACTAGGTATTCAAGGCATATATTCGTTAAACTTTCATAGGACCAAGTTTTTGTTTAGACTCTCGGTATATTTCAAGCCTCCCTATCCTTATTTAAACTTTTTTGAATTTTATGTTATACCTACACTGCAGACAGTCTTATAAAATTTAAACAACTCTCTGGTACGATTAAAAAAACACTAGTTTTTTGCTCAAAATACGAAATTGGAACCCCTACTTTGTTAAAAAAAAAAGGTCATCATCTGTCCAAAGAATGAGTTCGTTACAAATTTAATAAAATAAACACTAACAATAATTAAATAAAATTGAAGTGGTACTCACCAGCAAATGTTGTCATTCCCTCTTCATAGCCGGAAATCCCCAATTCGAAAATCCCATTTTAACATTCACAAAAAAATAGCACAAACACAGATTAGGCACAACCCTGATGACACAAACTAGAGTACTCTCATAATCTCTCTAAAACACATACAGTACTCGACAATATCAAAAAGTATGAGAAAATTAATTTATAATTCCATCAAAAATGATGTTAGTCGTACCTAACCTCAATTTACAACAGGTTGCTCTCTTTAAAACATTTGTAACGTACAGATTTCATCCGATAAAACAAAATATTTCTTACCTTCAATGAAAATTGTAACAAGAGCACTAGTAGTTTCACTCACAAATTGTCCGTAACTAAATTTAAAATTGCTAAAAATTTCACGCAAACTACCAAAAACTATTCTAAATTGACAGAAATAAACGCACATTCACATTTGCGCATTCGCATGGACAGCCGACAAATCGAATCTTTCCTAACGCGCATGCGTACAGTAACCATGAGCGACTCGTTAAGAAGAAAAATGAGAAGATTACAATCCAAAAAAACAAAATAACGATGATAATAATAACGAAAACCAATAAAAAATTACTATTGTAATATACAACTTCACAGCCTACGCATACAAAAAAAACTTAATTCCAATACTTAGTTCAAAATTATATCTACCGCCATCATAGTTTCAAAATACGTTCACGTTTTAATTTTTGTTTCAGTGACTGATTAATATATTTGTTATTATTTACTTCTAGGATTAGGAATAATTTATGCAATAATAGCTATTGGGCTGCTAGGATTTTTCATAATAATGTGCATCAAGTAGGTTGTAGAAGTCTAAATGCATCTTTAACTTAAATGCTGATTCACACAAAAAGTGTCATTAGTGTCATTCAGAACAAATGTAATCACATCAAAAAATGACAAAAATCTTTATGTTTGCCACCCTATGTTAATTACGTTGTTAGCTTTAATTATTTTTTGCTTCCTCAAAAACTGAGGTACACAGTTTTAGGGAAGATTGAGATTAGGATTGTTTGAATTTACGCATGGTAGCCAACTTGAAATGATTTCTTTCAGCGACTACTTCGCTGCACATTAATATGAAAACGACTATAATTTGGGCGTAATCGGCCAGTGTGATCAAATTTTCGACATTTTCTGATAATAAACTGTATAAAGCAGATTTGACTTTTCAAAAACTCCAAAACGTCAAAATGCCAGGAACATCATTGACAATTACTAATGATGTCATTTTTATAATTCACTAATAGATAAAAGTTAGTGATGGGAGACTACATATAAAAGATATTACGAAGTCTGTCTTACGCTGTAGCATTGAATAAAATGATTGACAATTAGAAGTATTATCGCATCAACAAGAAATTACTACCTAGGATTTAGGGATATTCGTGAATAGGTTGCCATAAATTTGTTTAGGTAGGTTTGCGGTGACAAACAAAAGATAGTAACTAGTGTCAAAAATCTAGGTTAAGTCACCTGTTAGCTTGTATAGATAACTCAATTGATAGTTGACAGCAGGTTGACAGAAAACGTCAACCGTTAACAACAAGGGGTAACCAACCCTAAGCATTCAAAATTACTTCTGAAAATTCTAGTTACAAACAACATGAAAAACGTAATTGTCCTAAAAATTCAAATCCTAGGTGGTAATTTCTTGTTGACAAGTCTGTAGTTACAGTTTTTCACCTAATGGTAAAAATAACAAATTAAAGCAGACTTGACTCATAGCTCTTGTTCTAACTTTTCACAAGCATGTTTTTTATAACTTTTTCTGTTAGATATGGCACTGAAAATTTGTCTACGGGCGACAATGAAGAAAGAGTTATAGTGCTATACTTTATTTTACGAACAAAAATGGTAATAAAAACGCCTTCTTGAAAGCACGCTGTTTACATACTGTTATAATGCCTAACAAAATATGAATTAAATTTGGCGGTATTGTTAAGTTTGTTTGGTGTAACTTTGTCTTTGGCGCAAAAGCTAACAGAGCAACAAAATAATTTATTTCTAAGTATTTCTGTTCGTGAAATTTTTTTTTAATTACTTTATCTACTAATTAATTGATTAAACAATAACTAACATTAAACATATCTTAGATTAATGTATTGCTTTAATAACGAGAAAAGTGTGTGTAAACCAATATTACTATGATTGTTATTGAACATGCATGTAACCTGTCTTTTTCTTCTACGCCACTGGTGCGCAAATATAGGAAAGGGATTCTCCGTGTCGGCAGCATTTGCTCGGGCGCAGTGTTAGTTCACGTGCTTAAATGATATCGTAAAGAAATCTATTATTTTTAGTACTTAAATTATTTTTTAAAAAAATGTTTATCAAATTAAGTGTTATAATTTCGATCCTTCATCTTACCATCGCCCAGACAGAAAATCACGACTGGGGTAAGTCAAAAATTCGCCAAGTTTTAACAGAATTTCGCGCGCCATGAGGATTCTCCTAATGGTCACGTACACCTAACACTGATCTTAACAATTTTTTTTTTTAATTCAAACTGAAAATTATTCAAGACTAATGGAAAAAACACTGAAAATAAAAATGAAGGTTATATAATCCATAGCTCTGACGCACTCTAACGCAGTGATAAGTATGGTAGGAATTTAAAATTTTCGATTTTCGAAAACTGCGGACTCGCACGTTCATTTTCATTTTTTCAATTATGATTCAAGTGACACTTCTGAAATCATAACAGTTTTTTTGCGGTGAGTTGAATTACATAAACATTTTTGCGGTTTCGCCAAAAAGTTATTTCGAAAAGTTCACGATGACGGCTTTTGATAATTCTTACTTTTATTGCATAATTTTACTTATTTATTTTTTATTTTCTACTTCTCGCTGTATTTGTGATCCAATAATTTTGTTCAATTGGAAGGTAAAAAAAGAACGCAAAAATAACGGTTCAAAGATTTTATATATGTTACATCAGATAAATCAACGTACGTAATCTTTTACAACATAATATTTTATCTCAAGATGAAATAATCTCCTACAACTGTACATAAGTATTATATCTATTAAGTAACCATATCTGATTGTAATAATAGTAATTAAATAATAAAATTACAATATAGTTAACACAATGCTCAATTAGTTTTTCTTATGAAATATTTTAACCCAAATTGGAGTTGACATCTCACATAATGAAGTAAAAAATATTTTAAAAAACAATTTGCTTCTGAATTTATTTTTTAGAGTTTTTATTAAATACAACAGCTAGAAGTCTCTAATTAAGATAGAGAATATCAAGAGAGAATATATTTATTTTAAATATTATTGTTTTGAAATATTATTGTTTTGAGTCATATGTTACGTTCACAGACATGTTTTCGTGTCAATAAAATACTTAAAAAAATTGAGTATCTTTAAAATTTTATATCTGTTTGCACCGAAATAAGTATGTAACGCAAGATCACAGTGCAACAGTTGATTTTATTGTTAAATTAAATAATTATTATTTTGAAACTTACATTTTTTACGTGTATGTATAATGTTTTTTTTTGTAAGAGTAGAGTTTAATAAAATGACATATATTTTAAACCGCTTGAGAGAGTTCAACGCAATTGCTACTGTTTTGATAATGTATTCACGAGACTGTCTGATTTAAATTTTAATGATTTTCGTAAATTGTGGTCAAAGTGTGTTTGTCTGGTGACCTTCAAGTTATAGTAGCAAGTTCACAATGCGTGGCTACAGCTTAAATTTTGGGAAAAACTATTTGTTTAAAAAATGTGATTATTACATTATGCAAACCTACGTCGATCAATTGAAATTCAGTTATTTTAGTTAAATGTCTCATTTATTTTCTCATTACTGCGTCTATTGTTGATTAGCACTTCAATTGTTTACAAAATTTCCAATCAGGAATGATTTACGTCTTTATCTGTCTTTCATTTTACGCAATCATTGATTAACAATGAATAAGTAAGTTTCACATAGTTACTAAAATTGGCGCATCCACCATAATGCACCCGTGTGTTGCATTTTTCAGTTGCGGTTCATTTAACGTTGAACTTGAAACATTGCATTCACTTCCACTTTTTATAGTAATTTATTATTTTTGATCGTTTATTTATTACAAGGTCTAATTTTACAGATGTAAAAAGTAAAATAAATTATTTATGTGAGGGAAAAACGGAACTTAAAGATTAATTGCAATAGGAAGTTTTCTTCTGTATGATTCTTTCAATGATTTGACCTTCGAATAGTCATAGTTGAGAAACCGTATCACGAAAGTGACCCCTTAAAATAAATAAATGTATAACGGAAACATAGTTTTTAGCATCACATACAAACTTGTAATAAACCTTGCAAACGTTTGCTTTATAGAGTAATGAACTTTTTCGTCTATAAAATCTACGTAATATTGAATCTCTACAGCTAATCTATTTAATAATTATTTATGCAATAAAAAATGAAATGGAATGCGAGTAGTCAACAAAACAAACTGCGTAACTTTGTAAAATGTCTAATATGATCGTATTTACAGGTGAGTAAATTTGCTGTGTAAGCTTTTTTTCACAGCTCAAATTTCACTGGTTTTCTGTGTCTACGTGACGATCTGCATGTCTAAAAGCACGTGGTTCATCGATTTAAAGCTCTGTAGTAGCGCATGCGTCCTTTTGAAACAAACCGAATAATTCTTACTATTTAAATTTGTAATATTAATTTGTTCAATTTATTTACAGGAAACCTAGATACAAAAAAAGTTCTGTTACCTACATAAGTGAAAAGAATTGAAATGTTAGTAAAATTTTACAAAATATATATTTGCAAATTAAGATAAGATATTTTGCTAGGAGAAAAGTAATAAATATGTATGCAAACTAGTTAAATTAGATGGAAATACTATAAATATTTAAATTTTTTGCTTATTCATGTTTGAGAGTAAACTCATTATCATTGTTGTTGTTATTTAATATATCATGATTCTATCAGATTTACAATAAATATATGATTATTATAGGTACGTAGAGTCTGGAGTGTTATTAGTCTTATTATATTTGTATAATTTTATTAAATGAGATATGTATAATTATTTTCAGTGAAAGTTCAACCAATATTATTTTATAAAGGTTGAATTTAAAATAAAAGAACCGGAAGAAACAGACATTGAAAAAACAATTCGTATCATGGCGAAGTATTATTGTACGTTCTAATTTATGCAAAAAATGAAAAATATTGTGATCAATCACGAAACATCGCCCGCACTGTGCAGTAAATTTTCTTTTGTAGACAAGTAATAATTAATTGAAGGTCGTGGCAATTGCCAAATATTGATGTGGTAAAACAATTGATTTATCAAACATTTGCATCTGATTACCCTAATAAATCGTTAATTGTATCAAGGTGATAATTGGTATAATTTATGTTTGTTTCAGAGTTGGCAGTGGTTACAAACGATAAAATAGAATTATTATTATCAAATGGGTCGATAATAGGGTCAGCATTTGAACAATTTAACAAATTAAAAGCATTAACATTTGATAATATACGTCATCAATTCGTTGTGAGTGATATGGACCAACAAAACGACACTATCTTTTCTGTTCAACTTACCAAAGAGACTGATGTGACATCCATTATCGAAGATCTTCCCGATGATGTCCAGGTTAGTCTAATCGAAAAATTATTACATGTGGAGAAATATGAAAATTGTGATTTTAGGGATTAGCTATAGATCCCATTTCCGATATTTTATACTGGACCGATTCAATTAATAAAACTATTAATTATGTACGTTTAAACGAATCTGCTTACAAATCAAACATTCTTTTTGCGTTTACAGATGAGAACCCTCAAGACATAACTATCGATGTATGTCGCCGGTAAGTCAAAAAACTAGTACAAAAAGTGACTATTCTAAAAAATCAACTTTAGGTATATTTACTGGACAAATTCAGACATCAACAAGCCAACAATCGAAAGAGCAAGATTGGATGGTTCCCATCATGAAATTCTGGTAGATGCAGGTCTGCACAGACCGGCAGGAATATCAATCGACTACAAAACACAAAGACTTTACTGGGCTGATATCAAAGAAGGCATTTATTACAGCATCGAAAGTACAAACTTAGAAGGCAAAGAACGCGAAGTGGTGTACGAAGGGACACACTCAAAACCCTTCGGAGTGGCGGTTGATTCAGATGCAGTTTACTGGACAGACATTAATAACAATGTCTTGTGGAAAATTCCGAAGCACGACAAAGACTCAGTTCCTGAACGCCTCCGTCACTTCAAAGAAAAACCGATGGGTATCATTGCCAAAAATGTACAAATCACAAGTTTCCCCGATTGTGAGGAACTATCAAAAGCCATAAGTAGTTATAATAAAACAGTTGAAGAAATATTCAAGCGCGTATCGCAAGAGAGTGAAGAGACGGAAGAAGTGATTTGCCTTAATGGTGGATTTCTAGTCGATGATAAATTCTGCCATTGCCCTCGCGGTTACGCTGGGAAATTCTGCGAAATATCTTTATGTTACAATTATTGTGTTCACGGCGAGTGCTATGCCTCGTCTTTGGGGTATCCCCAATGTCACTGCCTCAAGGGTTTTGGGGGAAAGAGATGCAACAGGGATATGTGTGACGGGTTTTGTTTGAACGGAGGAGTCTGTAAACGTGGAGGAGAATTACCTATTTGTGAGTGCCAGGAGGGATTCACAGGTCGTAGATGTGAAAGTACACTTGACATCTGCGAGGTCTTTTGTCAAGACCGACAAAATGATGTTTTGATAACACAAAAAGAAGTTGTTTGTAGGTAAGTTGGTCGCAAATTTTTCCAAGCACACTATTCTATCTCATCACTTGTAATTGTTACAGATGTGTTGATGGATATCCTGACGTTGTTCAGTCAAATTTTTCATCACTTCCATTGTTATTATCTCAAGAAGAGCATCCAGACTTTTTTGACCATTTTCAAGACACGGCATTTTTAGTTTTGTGTTGTTTAGTTTTCATATTGATGGTTGTGTCTGTCGTGTTGGCAACATATGCTTGTTCCTTACGAAGAAGACCAAGGATTAAGAAGCGAATTATAGTAAATAAAAATTTCACACAACTTACTAACAGACCACGAGCATCAGAACAGTGTGAGATCACCATCGAAAATTGCTGCAATATGAATATTTGTGAAACGGTAATTCTGGATTAATATTGTTGTTTTATAGACTTAAGCAATTTCTGTTTTAGCCTTGCTTTGAGCCTCCTCAACTGCCATGTTTGCAAAACAAGAATGACGATAAAAAGAAATTACTTTCGAATATGGAAAATGGTGAAGAATTATGCTAAAAAACTATCTATATTAGATAGGCTGTGACTTCCAAAAAGTATTAAATTGTTAAGTTTGCTATTTATAATTAGAAACGAAGACTTAACTACCTAAATATCTGACGTGAAAATGAGAACTGCACACAAAATTACTTTATATAATATTTATATAATTAATTCACGGGCAGCTTTTCGTTTTGTGTGCTGTTTCTCATCCTTGATTTTATAATTTTGACTTGAAAGAAACATTCCTGGAATAACTCGAAAATGTTTCCATGACAAAACAAGTATTCATACGTAAACCTTGGTTTTTCCCCCCGCGTGGACACCAAAACAATTCTGCGTTTCACAAATCATTAGCAATCAAATTGAATTTAATTAATGACTGCAGCAAAGTTGTGGTACTTACAAATGTTAGCTCATAAACTGAGTAAAAATACAACAAAAAAATGTAACTGACACCAAGACATTTATTGGAAAACTGATTGGATGTTTTTTTATATTTGGTGCAATGGTTTTACATTTTATTTGTTTAGGTCAGATTATTATTTGTGATAATTAAAATTTTGGCAAAGCTGAGAAATTTATTCTAGTTATTTTATTGGGCGAATCTTAAATTTCTTATTAGTTTCAAGGTTGTGAGTAGGTTAGTTACAAAAATGGCCAAATAGCAACTAATAAAAGGTGCCTATAAGGTTTGATTAAGTTTGGAGAAATAATAATTGTGAACAATTGTGTACAGACAAACTATCATTTCGGGCCTAGAATCATTTAATGAATCTTATTGCGTTGCCCTCTGTAGCAGTTTTTTTTATTGATTCATTTAAAGTAAATCATGTCTTAAAGGTGCATCCATTTAAATTACTTAAGTGGGTGTGGTTCGTAATATCCACATCAGAAATGTGATATTATAACTATGTAGCTCTATTTTTCAAATGTATATAAATTTTTTAATAAATAAAATAATGTTGAAACGTTTATTTTATACCACATCTTCCCGCTTTTTTTGTTAGCTGTTTAACTATTTTTCCTAGAAGTATATTTCATTACAATAACAAAAATAACTGTAGGTGCAAAGGCAAAGTATTTTTTAATTTTTACAATGAGATGTAGATACTTACCCCTAGAGTCATTCAACCAAGAATACAAGCAGACACGTGGTATTCTACATAACCTATTCACCTATTGTGAATTAGTATAGGTTAGGGTTGAAGTCAAGTTATTTTTTGCGATAATAATAGAATAAAACTCAATGAGAAAATATTGTACTAACTTTTGAAAATGGATGCTTATGATATTTTTAAGAAATTAAGTCAGGGTGCAAAGTTTTCTCGTGAACATAACACTAAAAAAGTGAGTACAAATGTCGAACAGTGTTAACAATAGTTAATGCAATTGTAAATTACAGAATAATAACAGTAATATTGAGATAAAAATTGAAAAAAATGATAACGAATCACAAAACCAACCCATACCTACGAAAAAGGAAAAGGAGGAAAATCCCATCACACTTTTAAGTACTTTAAAATCTTCTACAGAGATAAAAGGCAGAAAACGTAAACATTCCGATTCTGAAATTAACGAAAAAAAGAAGAAGTTATTAAAACAGGAAGAGGTATGTATTATGTGACTACGTCTGAAGGAAATGATTTAATTTAGTGTGCAGTACTGGTAATTGTTCATCAATGTCTTCCCTTTTTCATTTTCAGATAAACCATTACAGAAACATAAACAGAATATCTGTTGTTGGAAAACACGTACCAGAACCTGTTAAAACATTTGACGATTTAAACGTAGATCCTATTATAATTAATAATGTAAAAAACTGCTGCTACATTGAGCCAACTCCAGTACAAAAACAAGCAGTTCCAATTATGTTGGAGGTCGGAAGTCATATTATTCATATTACCTTACTTATTGAAAATTTTTAGGGGAGAAATTTACTGGCTTGTGCTCCTACTGGGTCTGGTAAAACTGCTGCCTTTTTAATCCCAATTTTGCATGATCTTAAAGGGCCTAGAAAAGAGGGTTTTAGAGCTCTTGTATTATGCCCAACAAGAGAATTAGCAAAGCAGACTCAAAGAGAATGTATTCGCTTGTCAGAAGGAAAAGGCTTTCACGTGCATGTCATAAGCAAAATTAATAAAGCTTTGACACAGTATGGACCAAATAGTTCTAAGAAGTTTGGTACTATTTTTTTTTGTAGTTTTTAGTAGGTAAACACTTAATTTAATTTATTTTTAGATATTTTGATAACAACTCCTAATAGAGTTTGCTTTTTATTGAAGCAAGATCAGGCTGCGCTATCATTAGCAAAGTAATAATCATTAGGATAAGAGAAAATTGCATTTGAAACTCTTATTTTTTATTGTAGTATTAAATGGTTAATCATTGATGAGGCAGATAAACTCTTTGAAACTGGAAACAGGGGTTTTAGAGAGCAGTTAGACCAAATATTAAATGCTTGTACAAACAAAGAGAAAAAATTGGCCATGTTTAGTGCCACCTACACACCAATGGTTGCTAAATGGTGTGTGCACAATATGAAAGGATTAATCCGCATTACTATTGGTCAAAGGTTTTTTTCAGAATATCAATGTAAAGTATGGTAATTTATTTTTCTCGTTGTAGAAATGCTGCAGCAGATACCGTGGACCAAGAATTACTTTTTGTTGGTAATGAACAGGGCAAACTATTAGCTTTTAGAGACTTGGTCAAAAAGGGTTTGACCCCTCCAGTTTTAGTTTTTGTTCAAAGTAAAGATAGAGCGCAACAATTATTTAATGAATTGATTTATGATGGAATTAATGTTGATGCTATCCATGCAGACAGAACCCAATTGCAGGTAATTGTAATTTTTATTTTACTTGTTGTTTTTATGATTTTTTAGAGGGATAATACCGTCAAAAGTTTTCGAGAAGGCCGCATTTGGGTTTTAATTTGTACCGAGTTGATGGCTCGTGGTATTGATTTTAAAGGTGTTAATTTAGTGGTAAATTACGATTTTCCACCATCGGCCATTTCTTACGTACATCGGGTAGGAAGGGCTGGGCGTGCAGGACGTAGGGGTAAAGCCATTACTTTTTTTACAGTGGAGGATACTGTTAATTTGAGAAGGTAATTATTTAATCTTATAGTGCTTATAATACACAGTTTACTACATTTTTCAGTATCGCTCATGTTTTGAAAGAATCTGGTTGTGAAGTTCCTTTATATATGCTCACTATGAAGAAAACTTCAAAGAAAGAAAGAAAAAAACTTGAAAAAGCAGCACCTAAGAGAGACGATATTGATACAAGACCTAAATATGAAATTTTGAAAAGAAGTATGAAGAAAAAGAAGTTTTCTTCAGTGAACCGAAAGGATGTAAAGGGTCCAGAAAAGGAAAAATCTCAAAAATCTGAACAACATAAAAAGAAAATAATGAAAAATAAAAAGGTCAATGAAAAAATTACAATATCAAAAAAGAACAAAATTATGGTAAAAAAAGGAAAAAAGAAGAATGCTTCCACTAAATAGTAGTTAAATAAATGTTTTTTAATTAATGGAATTTGTTTTAATTTAATCTGCAGGTATCTATTGTAAAGTACAAGAGTACTTTTGCGTATTCTTGTTTTTCACGTATGTTTCGAATTCGTTGTTTTACAAAGCCGTTTTATATGGATGGAGAGACACATACATACAGGCAGATATAACAAGCAGCTACTGGGACTGAAAATCCCAATGCTAATTCCACATGTTAAATCAAGTGTTTCAGGAAACTAGCAAACAGAGGAATTGAAGTTGTTTCAGTAGTTAACAACTCAAACGGTAGGTCTCATCTGAAGTGAACAATAAATTAACATATTCGTCCCATAAACATATTTTTCTTTTATAAAAAATGTATGCATTGTTGTGCGTTTGTTGCGGTAGACTCCAAATGTTTTGAAATAACTAGATCATTGTCAGACCTTAGACTACCAATGATTTATTTTATTGATAAGTGCTTAATTATAATAGAAATTTTAATGAGGGATGGTAATCATATTTCATTAGTACGTAGGTATTTATCTCATTAGAAGATCTAATAATACTGGTTCAAGTCATCAATACCAAATGAAGGTTGCTCTTAATGACAAATAATTGTAGAAGTAAAATTAATAGAATCATTAGAATCACACAGCGAGCTCCTAGCGTGCTATTGTATAATTGAGAAAGCCGTTTTTATTAATTAGGTGGGACTAGAGGAGATATAAAAGAACCACCTGTCATCACCGCTAAGATATATTCCTATTATTTTATGCCATTGACACCCAATACAATGATTTATCAAGTAACAATTACTTTTTTGTGGCCATTTATTGAAAACTGCCTTTTTAATTTATACTTTTTTTTATAGGTACTTTGATATATTGGATTTTTTTCTAAACTTGTTATAACATGTACTACGAATTGCGACAGAGGCCTTAAGTAAATTGTTATTAAATATATACCTACATTGAAATAACCTCAAGACTTTCTGAAAAATCATTTTCAGATAATTGTCTACAAACAACCTTTTCTCAATTCATACAAGCTGCTCTTACTGATAATTATATTTATTTGAATAATAAAATTAAATAAAACCTGATTACAAATCTGGTTTCTTTATGATTCGATTAAAAAGATATCGAGAACGACAACATGAAACCCACTTGAGTATTTACAGAACCTGTATGACGGGGATTAAGTATTAAAAAAGTGAGTGAAATTTGCAGAATAATTTTACAAGACACTATCTAGATGTGCGCGATGACCATGGCAAGATTGTTTAAAAAAATATATTTTATTTAATAATTACGCTGTACTGCTGTGAGATTTAAAACTTTGCAGATTCGCTTACACGTATTTATTACCTCAAATCAAAGATAAAGTAAATTTAGACATTTTTTCTTTACTTTTAAGACCTAAATTATGTTTACTTGTTACATAAATAGTTACTGATTAATGATTACCTTGTTTATGGCCAATTTATTTAATTATTTTTTTAAGGGTTTAGGATCCAGTTTGTAGATAAGCAGAAATAAGACGTTATCGACAAAATAACGTATCATTTAATACTCGACGATCTGATAAGCAACCAGATCACATTCTAAAAGTGTAATTGGGAACTGCCAATCGCAGGACCACCCACAATACAAAAAATATCCACTGTTTAAAAAATTGGACACGTACAATGGTCTGTCATGTTTTTAAACATTCTGTTCTGACCAAGAAAGTACGTGGAAATATTTGAGAATTGCTAGTTTGGTACGATATATCCAAATAACGCCAAATTGTCACACATTAATTGATTTATAAATGATTTCAATATTATCCTCTTTTTTAACAATCATAGCCATATGCAGTCAAAAATTGCACGCCAGGTGTGATTATCATTTTATTTTAACTAATCTTTTTCCAATAATGGTATTGTTCAAAATATTCAATAGATATTGTCATGTTATGTCACAGTTTCTATTATTTTACTTAAGTAAGACAAAACGTCTAATTTTGAAGAAGACAATAACAGGTATTCTTTCAATAATCCCCAATCTTACACACAGTAACAATATTTCAAGCCTGAATCAGAGTTTTCCAGTCGAATTAACGATTCTAACGAATTAACAATCGAATATAAAAGTGTTCTATTGGCTCCTGTCATTTCCTATAGCTACGTGATTACAATATAAATTCGAAGCATGCACCGATTTAATTAGGAAATTATTGCAGCCATTCAGCCATTTAATTGGAAAACAATTGCAGCTTACCAATATAATAAAACGAAAGAAAAATATTGGGCTAAAACGAGCAGAAAAAGCCATCATTTCAATTTAATACAACGTTACTTTTTGTCATTCAATCTGTTTTCTACAAATTGATTTCAGTTAAGCTTTGATGTTCCTTCCAAATGTAATTTGCGACGATGGGGACATAGATTAAGACATACTTAAATAATTACACCTGTACCTATCTTCTTACCCATAAATGGAAAACCAGTTGAGAACAATTTATCTCACAATAATAAATGAATATGCGTGAGATATGTTCAATCAGTGGAATACTCGCGAAGTACGGCGCCAACAAATTGCTGCAATTATCACCAAGAATAATCTAGCTGCATTTAATTTTAATTAAGATGAAAATTTAATTCAACACGCGGTGTGTTTTCAATTTGAATTCAGGTCATTTTCGCAACCAGAAATATTTTTTTGAAATTGTGATGAGTGATCGAATGGTATTTCTTTTACCTGGCGACAAAGTTGTTATTTCCACATACATTCATAGGTTCCAGAATAGACAGGTGCCTGATGGTGACGATAACTACTAGGAACTTTCAAATTATGTGGCTTGTAATACATTCCATGATTTCTTCTAACTACCACAAACACAAGATTAAAAAATATTTTATTTAACGATAATAATTTGAAAAAAAATTAGGTAATTACTATAATATGACTTTGTGTGCTGAATTCATTATGTTAAACCGAAACATAATCGTTGTAAATTACTACTTTTAAATTTAAGCTGGTTCATTTGAGTAAAATTTATTCTCATTGTAATAAGCAAACATTTTGTGATAATTTTTTGTGGAATCAGAATATCCTGTCTCTTGACGTGTCTTTAGTGCAATACACTTTGTTATATTTTCACATTTTTTAGATAAAAAGGTATGACAATTTTTTAAATAAAATCTGTGAATAAAATTTATTTGCAGATAGCATAAATGTATTGTTTAATTAACGTTTTTTTACAATTTTGTAATAATTTTATTATTATTGTCAAGTCAAATAACTAAAAAGACCAATCATTCGATGCAGAGAAGAACAAATTGAGAGCTACCCTTGTTAAAATTAGCTCGAGCATTGAATGATTTTTCCCTATTTGATCCTTTAAGGGCCCGTTGAACTTGTCCTCACTGATAAATTCCTCCAATAGATCGAATGACTAAGTTAGTTTCTTGCCATTTTTACAGTTTCACTTGAAACTGTTTCATCGAAAATCAAGACAGTCTAAATTTTATTCGTGTTTTAGTGAACACTATTTTTTGGTCTATGAGGGTAGGTATATCTCACGGGCCAAATACGGGTGTCTGTTTTTCGAGCTCGACGATGGGGATCTCAGTTATTATAAGAGATTCGAGGTGGGTTAAATTGCACATTTTTATATTGAACAATTATTTGAAAGAAAATTTAATGTGTCACTTTTAGTTTTTGAATTATTGGAAAAAAACCGAAGTTTGTAATTTTCGTTAGTTAGTATGTTTTTTGGTTCGTTGGTATTTTTTCAAGCAAAAACTAAAAGACCTAGACGTTTTTAACTAGGACGTTCTTTATTATTCTCAATTCAAAATTAAGAAAAAGCCTTTGTGCGCAGACTACTTTGTATGTTATCAGTTTTATCAATGTTATCATCATATACTTCCGATTTGTTACTACTTATTACTCTTAATGCATTAAAAATCTTGAAAAACAGTTTTTGTGACTTATGACACTGTTGTCGCCCATGTGCGTTATGTTTGTCTAAAAAGATTAAACAATTAATTGAAGTTAAAATAAATAACACCAGATTTGTATAAAATTACTTTAACTGAAATTGAAAAATCGACTAGAATTTTCTAGAGATCTCAAGAATATTCAGAAATATATAAATATTAATAATTTTATTATTAGTAATTCATTCAAAACTTTATAAATGACTTCATAAAACAGAGTTTAAAATTGGTCGTTTGAAACTTTACAATTGATTATAAGATAAAGCTAACAGAAAATTGTTTCAGTGCTTTATTAAAAATTAATAATTAATTCTTGATTAAAAAAATATTGTTATAAAAAACAATGCCCAGTTTTGACAAGTAGGATTAGTAAGACCAACAATTTTGGTAGCTGAATCTAGTGTAGCAGTGTAGCTTATCATTTTCTGACATAGCCAGGTACTAGCTCCTTTTTTAATTTAAGCTTTAGCTTTTACAAGAACATTTACTTTTTGGCTGCATCAGGACCAATTTCAAGTTGTACAAAGTGGTAGTCGATGTCTTATTTGCTTTATCTTTATTTTCTCACATTTTTAAGATCTCACTCTTAGCATTTTTTTGTAAAGCGTTAATACAAAAGTGCGTTATAAGAGTAATTGCATTAGCTTCATTAGTTTTTTTGATCTGAATGTTTTTGTAATTTTCATTTTGGGGACTAAATTAGTTTGTAAAATAACCATTTTGGGAGCCTATACAAAAAAGTAAATTACTATTTTAATAAGCTCGGAAGTTTTTTTTGTGGTATTATGTGTTGTCGTAATTGTCTATATTGCAAATTGTTTGGGGCGTTTGATATAAAATTATTATATTATTATTTTTGGGTCTCATGCGGAGTAAATAAAAAGTGTAGAACCAAGTGTTTTTTGCTTAAACTATTATATCGAGAGATCAAGATAATTTGTCATCTTTGGATCCGAAAACCTATGTCTGTTTTTGAACTAACTGCACGTGAATCGTCAAATGAAATGACAAGTCGAAAGATAAAACAGCAAAATGGGCTGGAATTAGTCGCTGGTATAATAACAGAACGTTCTTTAGTTATTTTTGTTATTAATGTTTTTTTGTTAAAGCTCCGAAAACACGAATTCACATCTCTTACTAATTAAAAATATTTCGCCACCATAGTAACCAATTTTATTTTTTAGCCCCGAAAAAACTGTTTTTGAGGACTGAGTACCCAAAATAATCATTTTGCGTACTATTTTATTGAGTCCGTAAAACAGCTGTTTTCAGGAGTGTATAAAAAAATAACTAGAAAAAACTAATTGACGAATGATGAAGTACTCTAAAAATATGACGTTTGATCGATAAACAATTTTTCTAAAAATTTTTTGCTTTTT